TAATACAACAGCAACAAAAATATAATTCTGGAATTACAAAAGAACTAAGTTAGAATCCATAATTAAGTCATTCCCGTGTTTATAAGTATGATTCTAAAATAAATACTACTAAGTCGCTGTTGCAGGTTTTTAGGTTTAAACACACACATTTTCAGTTGTAGAAGACAATATGTTACATTTCACCCACAATTCTGAAAGGATTCTTCAAGACTCAACTAGCACTAGAAACTGAGGTACTCAACCAGTCCACAAGGCAGGCAGAAAAAAGTTAAATTACTTGGGGTTCAAAGCATTCTCACATGAGTTCCAAAGCCTGTGATAGTTTGCAGCAACTGGAAGTACTTCAATGCTGCTATCCTTTTTAGAACTAATTTTATGCTAAGAGTTTAAGAATGTGGACATTTGATCGCTATAAAGTGAATTTGGGTAGCATGTTTTTTTTTTTTTTTTTTTTTTGCTAACTCGACTCCCCTGAAAAACCTAGTTAGCGATCTAGGCGTTAGCAATTTGGTCACCAGGCAAGTCAAGCCTGCAATAAAGAAAGCCTATATTCAAAATACTGTGTTCTTGCCTGAACCCAATTAAATGATTTATATTCAACATAAACATGTAACCTCAAAATGAGGTGTCTAATCAAACAACACTAAGAAGACATAGATATCATTTCTTCTTCTGTTTTGCCCAGTATTCCCAATATATGGAATAGACCATACCAACAGTCGTTGCTCCCACAACAAAGCCTTCTTGGGCTGCTACCAAAAATGGATCAGGTGGATGGACATTTTAGTATTTCCCCTGCTCTTCAATTTGTATAATCCATATGCAATAATTGCTTCAAACTCCACCATTCCAACAGGGACAAACTGTGCCTCTCTAGCTTTTTGTTTAAGCTTGGATCCCTGATCTTCATCATATGAAGAAAGAGAAACATCTATGTTAGATGACATAGTGATTGGTTGAAGAAACTTCCTCTCCTGGTCCTCGTGATTGGGTCTGAGCTGGGCCAATTATACCCCGACCCTTTATCCAAAGCATCAACCCCACTATCAGGCCCATGACCTCCAATCCTCCAAGGTCCTCTAAGCCCAGCCAAGTATTACCTTGCTTTTTTCCCGCCCCACGATCAGGAGCCCTTCGCTGTCAATATTCCCTCATGCTTCTTCATTTCATAAACTTTTAATAGCTTCCAATTACTTAAAATTCTTTGTCTGCCATCCGTAGTCCTGGCTCCAGTTTACCTTTTCAGTACTATCTGGTCTAAATTCTTTATTAGTAGTCTATGATATGTGAGGCCTACTTTAAAAGGGTAACCTAGACCAATGAGAGGACTCCAACCCCCAAGCAGAAATCTGAACTAAACTGACAATTAAAAGAGTTTTGTGTAAGGCAGTTAGATTTGGGATTGGGAGTAGCAGTTAGGGGGTTGGATACATGCTGAAGTCAGCTTGTCCTGCCTTGTCAGCTTATGGATTCCTAAGATTGATTGATTTTAAAATAAATCCTATTCTTGAGTTAGAGTTCCTGTTTCTTGCAACCAAGATAGCCCTGACTAAAGTCTAGGCAGGCACTGAAGAGTCACTAAAGGATTTTATGTTGTAAAGTTAGAAGAATGATGGCTGAAACTAAAATCCCGAGGATGAAAACATTTAAGCGATGAGTGGAGAAATATCACATGGGATGGGACTTAAGGAAGATAAAGGAGGAGGGAAGTATTTTTAGGAGGTGGGTGGTACATGCAGCAGAAGATCAAGTAAGACTGAAAAGTGTCAGTTGGACACTTAGATCTTTTCTTATCCTTGCAAGAAGTTTCATGGGGGGGGGTGGCGAGAAAGGTGACAAAATTATAGTGTGTTGAGGTGTGAATGAGAGGTAAGGAAGTGGATGTAAGTAGAGACCGTAACTTTAACCAAGAAGAGATGGCAAGAGCTACAGGTGATACTTACAGGGAAGAGTTTTCTATTTTTTTTAAATGAATGAAGGATAAAATAGGCCAAAGTCGACAGTAAATGAAGAAAAATAAAGCCATTTGTTCTCTCCTCACGCTAACTGTCCAGAGAGCCGAGAATGTTTTGTTACTGCTGGGAGAGCCGAAATTGCAGAGGCTTGAGGCATTTCAAAATTTAACAGCAAAGGTTTTTAAACTGCTGCATGGCGAGGTGTTTGCGACGTGACAGCGGATGGTGCCCGGGCTCTTGTGTTCCCACTCCACTAGCGACTCAGAGTCATTAATTGCATCTCGGCTCAATAGCCGCCCCTCTCCCCTATTAACCCACCCGATCGGGCCTCTCCCGCGCCCCCCTTGCCAGGCCCTTCCCTCTCCTGGTCTCCCGGGCTCCTGCGCTGCGCCTATCCATCTCTTTATTTTCCCTCTCCTGGACCCAGCCCAGCCCAACCCGCTCTCCTCTTTCCCCCTTCTCTCTTTCCTCAGACTCCCGCTCCCACGGCAAACACCACCCCCTCCGTCCTCTCCGGAGTCGCCCGGCGGGAGGCGCCGCGGGCCCGGCTACGCGCAGGCGTACTGCGCGGCGGGCGCGCGCGGGGTGTTTGCGCAGGCGCGGGCAGCTAGTGCTAAGCTCCGGCGCGGGCGGCCAGTGGTTCTTGAGCTCTGTCAGTCCCGGCTCGGGAACCCGAGCAGTGGCGGCACCATGTTACTTCATTCAGTCAACCTCTGGAACCTGGCATTTTATGCTTTCATGGTTTTCATAGCGACCCTGGGGCTGTGGGATGTCTTCTTCGGCTTCGAGGAGAACAAGTGCAGTATGAGCTACATGTTCGAGTACCCAGAGTACCAGGTAAGGTTCCGCCCTTTCCTCACCTGGACGCTTCGAGACTCCTGCCTGTTCCTTCTATGGATTCATTCTACCCGGGTATCCGGTGCTTCTCCGGCCACTTTATTCCAGCCTCACTTAATGTTTTCTCCGCTCCGGAAGACTCTGCCGACCCCTGCCGGCCCCTCATCTACCCTTTGTGTCCTGCCTTCGTGGTCGGATGTTTGATAGATGATTCCAAGAGCAACCTTCCCGCCCCCTTCATAGTTACCCTGACTCTCTGTCCCACGCGGGCCTCTAA